CAGATACAAACTACTACATACAGAAGAGATAAACAACAAGGTCTTACTGTACAGCACAGGGAACTATATTCAATAGCTTATAATAACTTATAATGAAAAAGAATATATATTATAACTGAATCTCTGTGCTGTACATCAGAAACTAACACAGCATTGTAAACCAACTATACTTCAATTTACACAAAAGACTAAAACAAAACAAATCTGTATTTATTTTACTATATGTAAATATATAAAAGCCTATTACACTTATACTACAACCTATAAATGGAGAAAAACCTATAAAATAGGGAAGGATATTTACTCAATTGTATTAAACTTTGAGGACTGTGAGACAAAGAAGAAATTATAAATATGTATTAATATAATTAATTTTTAGTAGTAGGTTAATAGGCATGCAGTTATATAAATTTTATGCCTATTCCCCATTAAGCACACTTTCAGCAAATTTCTTTTAAACAAATCTTTTTGAAATTTAAAAATGCCTGGGGTATGACTGAATATACTATTTTTTAAGAGATGACATATATTTAATTTACCACTTTCCTAAATGTCATAATTAGAGCATCTTTAATTAATGTTGGTGTAGGTATTTTTTTAATCCATCTATCATGTCATATGAGATATAAATATTCATGTATACATTTAGAATTAAAAGAGGTAGATGAATTTTAAACCTTAAAATAGATTGTAATTATTAATGTAATTAATTACATCATATTAGGAATTTTCTTTGAATTTACTTACGTATACCTGGTTATATTTCTATTCTTACATGGTAAAAATTTTTCTGTATTTTCGATGAAAGCAATGTGACAAGCACTCAAATAATGACTTAGTTCAAAATTAATGCCTGAAAATAAGAGTGGGGCCTCCAGCCTTCTGAATATTTTTTTGAACCAAATGTCTAGAACCCTTTTTCAAGCAAAAACTGAATACATTTCTTGTTACAAATAAAAGAGAATTGCTGTCTTTAGACTATGTATAGGCTTTCCCACTGGGATCTGAGATCACATTTTCTGAAGGAAGCAGGCAAATTTATCAGAACTACTTGTTTTTATGGAAAAATAGTCAAGTAGGAATGGATTATTCAATTGCCTGCCTGGAAAAACATATGGGGAGGGTTGCAAGTAAAGATGTTCAAGTTTAAGGAGGGGAAAGGAGTCAGATCTGTTGAGGTAGTCTTGAAATGAATCAAAGATACAGAGTTTCCAGAAATAAGGAGTGATCAAAAGAATAAGTTACTAAGTGAAAAGGCAACTCACAGAATGGGAGAAAATGTTTGCAAATCACATACCTGGCTCATCCAGAATGTGTAAAGAACTCTTATACTCAACAATAAAAAGACAACCTAATTTTGAAAATGAGCGAAAGGATTTAACAAACATTTCTCCAAAGGAAATATAAGTGTGGCTTATAAGCACATGAAAAGATACCCAATGCCATTTTCTTTAGGGCAGTGTAAACCAAAACCACAATTAGATAAAACTTCTCACCACTGGACAATCTTTAATCAAACTAGACACAAATCTGTAGAGACAGAAAGTAGATGAGTGGTTGCCTAGGTCTTTGGGTGGAAAATGAGGGGGAATGGGGAAGTGAGAGTGACTGTTAATGGGTACAAAGTTTCTTTTCGGATGATGAAAATATTCTAAAATTAGATGACGGTGATGATTGTGCAACTCTGTCAGTATATTTTTAAACCTGGAATTTACACTGTAAATGGGTGAATTGCATTGTACCTGAATTACATCTCAATAAAGCTGCTGAAAGAGAATGAATTACTAGGTATTTTATCACATTCAGTTTTTAAGCTTTTACTTTCTTTCTCAAAATGTGTCTCATCCTTTTAACTGGCCATAATTCTTGAATAACATGGATGTTCCTTGTACCTGAGTAAATTGTGTTGAACATATTCTATTTTTTCTCGTAAAAACCAAGTAACAAACTTGGCATTTTCTTTCTTCCTCTTTCTGGTGTCAAGGATTACTGTTCTAAAATTGAGTGTCTAAATGAGGCAATCTGCACAGAGATATTTGAGTAATCCTCCAAGTAGGCAAAAGTTATTCTTCTTATTCTGCAAGACTTCCTAACCTATGCCATACGAAATCTGCTCGCACCGCAAAACTTCTGCCATCACTCTATAAAGCTCACTAATGTAAAGATTTATGACTCATTAAAAGAGCTTCTGGTCAAACGTTTTTGAATTGTGAAATCTATTTTTTTTTTAAATCTGAATGCAATCTCTCATTCCCATTTCAGGCACTCACGCATCTCCAGAGCTAAGAATATAAGGATAGGAAGACAGACAATCTCAAAATACTTGATGGAAAAACAGAAACTTCTTTTTCTAAAAGGCTTCTTTATGTGTTTTTCTCCTCCTCCTCCCTCTCCTGTTCTTCCTCCTCCTTCTCCTTTTTCTTCTCTCTCTCTCTCTCTCTCTTTTTCCTCCAGAGAGAAATTTCCTCTGTTACTGGCTCTGTAAGTGAGATCAGAGCCTCAAAAATACCACACTGTATCATTTACTTGGACATTTTCTCAGAAGAGCATTAACTTTGGGAAGTTACAAATGACTCAGAGAGATACAAGATGAGTCAGTAAATGTTGCTAAGATTGTGGTCCCTTCACTATAACCTTAGGGATATTGGATTTCTTGGCAACTTGGCTACCATGAACATTTATTGATTAAGTTAATGGATTCCTTGTGAATGTGATAGTAAGACACAGGCAGAGTGTTCTTAGTATATCAATAAATCCTATCAGTCATTATTTGATGCTTGAAAAAAAATCAGACTAAGGAAGCAAGGTATTAAGTACATAGCAATTTTTGCATTA